TTATTCCTTCCAACCCATACTAGATTCCATTTTCAGCACTCATCAAGAACATACTTTTGGACATTCGAATGTGATTCATTGTCATAAGCTTCAAGAGCCTTACAGATCCTTTCTATCAATTTGGCACTTCCTGTACATGTTTATAAACAGATCAACTTTGTTCTTGGATCCCAGGAAGGCCATCATTTCTTTGTCAATGGAAAAGCATCAGCACATGGAGGAAGCATAATAAAGAGAAAATCTGTTCTTAATTGGTAGAATTATGAATATAGCCCTTTTCAGTGTAGTAGCATGAAAATGCTTCGAATCTACAAATTCTGGCTTTACATCGAATAAGTACTGTGATATCCCAGTCCAAACATTATTTGGAAGATGAATGTGCTCATAGCATCTTCTGGAAGTGTTCTTTGAGTTATCTGATCTGGTTTGGTATGAAACCACAGAACCAATCATTGGATTTGAAAGATGAATTTGCTCATAGTAGAAATAAGGAGACTCAATAGTATCTTCTGGAAGTGTTCTTTGAGTTATCTGATCTGGTTTGGTATAAAACCACAGAACCAATCATTGGATTTGAAAGATGAATTTGCTCATAGTAGAAATAAGGAGACTCAATAGCATCTTCTGGAAGTGTTCTTTGAGTTATCTGATCTGGTTTGGTAGGAACTACAGAACCAATCATTGGAATTAAAAGATGAACTGCATGACTGTTTATTCCTTTCCCAAAAATCATAGCCCAAGTTTCGCCTTTTCTTGTAATGGGGATCATCGCATAATGGCTTCCCATCTTTTACCGGAAGAAATGTGTCAGTAACCTTAGCCATTTGAGCAGTACATATAAAATTTGTCAATTCTGCAATTGATGAATCTGGACCACATTTCTCCAGGGCTACTGAAGCTTCAACCTCTGAGAATTCCATTTTTGTCAAGTATAACAGTTTATTCTCCTCATCAGAATCAGAATTCAAGATTTCTCGATATTAAAAGAACTATCGATATCTGTGAAATCATCTGAAAAGGTCACTTCATAATCAGATGAGTTGTTATCAGAATCAACATGTTGCATGAATGCAAGCTTTTCAAGAGCCTATACTATTGAGTTTTATTCTCAAGAGGTTTTGTGACATTATATCTACATCTACATTTGTCAAAGATGATAGATTCTCTGATTTGAAGAAGAAAGATCTATTGGGTTTTTACAATTGAAGAAATACTCAATTCACCAATCTAAAATCAAATAACTTAACATTCATGCATCATATTTAGGTGTTTGCAAAAATAGGTGCATTTTCATTCATTTTCATCCATGTTTAATTTTTAACAGGAATTTCAAAGATTTTAGCAAAGATTTAAATCCATCATTCAATGGATCAACAGTGTCAGTTAGTGTTCATAATGAGAAGAACTCATCTGAAGAAGGAAGAAGAAATTCATAATGAGAAGAATTTGTTCAACCTTTTGCTCAAATCCATCACTTGATGGATTAGCTTTGCTAGAAAAAGTTCATAATGAGAAGAACTCATCTGAAGAAGGAAGAAGAAATTCATAATGAGAAGAATTTGTTCAACCTTTTGCTCAAATCCATCATTCAATGGATCAACAGTGTCAGTTAGTGTTCATAATGAGAAGAACTCATCTGAAGAAGGAAGAAGAAATTCATAATGAGAAGAATTTGTTCAACCTTTTGCTCAAATCCATCACTTGATGGATTAGCTTTGCCAGAAAAAGTTCATAATGAGAAGAACTCATCTGAAGAAGGAAGAAGAAATTCATAATGAGAAGAAATTGTTCAACCTTTTGCTCAAATCCATCACTTGATGGATTAGCTTTGCCAGAGAAAGTTCATAATGAGAAGAACTCATCTGAAGAAGGAAGAAGAAATTCATAATGAGAAGAATTTGTTCAACCTTTTGCTCAAATCCATCACTTGATGGATTAGCTTTGCCAGATAAAGTTCATAATGAGAAGAACTCATCTGAAGAAGGAAGAAGAAATTCATAATGAGAAGAATTTGTTCAACCTTTTGCTCAAATCCATCACTTGATGGATTAGCTTTGCCAGAAAAAGTTCATAATGAGAAGAACTCATCTGAAGAAGGAAGAAGAAATTCATAATGAGAAGAATTTGTTCAACATTTTGCTCAAATCCATCACTTGATGGATTAGCTTTGCCAGAGAAAGTTCATAATGAGAAGAACTCATCTGAAGAAAGAAGAAGAAATTCATAATGAGAAGAATTTGTTCAATCTTTTGCTCAAATCCATCATTTGATGGATCAGCTTCTCCAGAAAAAATTCATAATGAGAAGAACTTATCTGAAGAAGGAAGAAGAAGTTCATAATAAGAAGAACTTGTTCAATTTTTCGCTCGAATTCATCACTCGATAGATCAACTTTTCAGAAGAGAGTTCATAATGAGAAGAACTCATCTGAAGAAAGAAGAAGAAGTTCATAATGAGAAGAGCTTGTTCGACCTTTTGCATAACCCTATCATAAAAGGAGATATATCATCATCAGCATTTCCAGAAAGAGTTCACAATGAGAAGAACTCATCTGAAGAAGAAGTTCATAATAAGAAGAGCTTATTCAACCTTTTGAATGACTCTATCACATAAGGAAAGAGGTCAACATCATCCCCAGCGGAAAGTTCATAATGAGAAGAACTCATCTGAAAGAAAAAGAATAATTTATTCAACATCTCCATACTAATCAAGTGAAGCCAAATGGATAATTTTTTTTTTATCTTTTCATCTTTGCCCTATTCTTGTTAACACAAGAATGGGCAAAGAGGGGCAGCTGAAGATACTAAATTTTTTTACTCATTTTATTATTATTATTATTATTATTATAATTATTATTATTAAAAAATAATTACAAACAGGCCCAGATTGGACCGGCCCAATTACAAAGGACCCAACTGGCCCAAATCAGAAACCCTAAAACCCAATTAGGGTTTTCTATCCAGCTGCCGCCGCTTTGCTTCTCCACCGTTGGATCTAGCATTGATCCAACGGTCCAGATGGCGCCAGACGAAACCCTAGGGTTATGATACCCTAGGGACTACACCAGCTGCCGCCGCTCCACGTCGCTCCAGCCGCTGCCACGCCCCAACTGAAGGCTCCAGAAGCTCCAACGCCAGCCGTCCACGTTATGGCTATGGGGTGAGTCACCACTGGGAGTCCGGTGACTCACCGAAGGGTATTCTTTTACCCGGTCCGATGGCCACACCGGTGATGGCTATAAAGCCATCACCCCATCTGCGAAAAAAAAGGAGAGGTAGGAACAGAGAGAGACCAGCAAAAACAGAGAACAAAAATAAAGAACAATAACCCACAATCCGCAGTAAACCAAAACAGAAACAAAAAGAAAGGAAAGAAGCTTACCGAGGAAGCCACTGGACCTCTTCAAACTTCACCAAAACCTTCGAAAACCGAAGGTATTTCTTTAGATTTGCTCCGATCGGGAGCTATTTAGGAGAAAAGAGCACCGGAACCGTCCTTAGGACGGTCCGATCTACCTAATGATGTAAAAATAAAATTTTTCGGCCACCGGATGCGGTGGCCGGCGATGAGGGTCACGGCGGCAGACGGTTGCCGTCCGGTGACCGGCTTCCCTCCGATGAGGGAAGCTAGAGAGAAGGGAGAGCTTTTTCATTCTCTCTCAGTTAGAGAGAGAATGAGAGTGCTGGCCCGAAGGGCCAACCGTTTCTGGCTTTAAATAGCCCTTCCCGAATGACGTCGTTTCGGGGAGGGCTATTTGTGTAATTATTAATAGTTAAATCCTTTCCGCAGTCATCCTAGTTTATAAACTTTCCATTTTAGTCACTAAATCGAGTTTATAATCCTTTTAATTCGGTTCTTTAATTTCAATTTTATTTATTTTAGTCCTTTATATTAAAATAATATATATAGGGTAAATAACAGATTTAGTCCTATAATTTTAATAATTAATATTTTAATCTGAATAGTATGTTTTAATTTATTTTATTCTAATATCCGAATTTTATATAGTTTTATTTTAGTCACTAAATTAATAAATAAGAAAATAGCATGTTTAATCCCTATAATTTTGATTAATATTGAATTAGGTTTTTTAATTTTAATTTACTATAATTTAGTCAATAATTTTAAATATTTTTATTTATTTTATTGCTTTTAAATATATAGTTCTAATTGTATTTTTATTATTTTAATTTTACTTGTTTATATATTTAAATATTTTTATTATTATTATGTAGTCATAAATATATATATAATAAATAAATATTTATTTTTTTTAATAAATTATTTTTAACATTTATTTTTCAATATCGAAGAAAATTGCAGTCTTAATACAACTGGATGTCCTATTCTGGTATTTTAAAATTAAATATTATAAAAAATTATTATTTAATTTTATTCAAATTAATATTTATTAATATCAAAGAAAAGAGTTGTCTTAAGGCACCTAGAAGTCATTTTCCGATATTTTTAAATATTTTTTATATAATTTTGAAATAATAGGATTATAAATTAAATATATTTTGAATTTTTAAATTTTTAATAATAGAGACAATTTATAATTAAAAAGTACCAATTTTGGGCGTTGTAGGGGTGCTAATCATTCCCTAAACGTAACCGACCACGAATCCCTTTTTATTATTAAAAAAAACGAATTTTTGGTTATAAACGTAGATCAGTTCATTTTTTAATTGATATTTTCTTAAAATTCTTTTAAAAAAATAATTTTTAGGTATTCGACCTACCTGACCCTAAAGGCCGATGGCGACTCTCAAATTATTTTCAAAAAAACCATTTATTCACATCAATTTTCCCGCCAAATAAATATTTTGTACCCGGACGAAAACCGGTTACGACAAGGAGTTTTGGATAATATGGCCACGTGTTTATGCATCATCTCCTCCATTATATATACACTCCATGGATCATCTTCATTTCATACAATCTGCTTTTTAGCTTTGATTCCAATCGATTCCCATTACCAATCTCATTTTTCTGAGAGAAAAAAACAAGGGTTGATTTGTAAGAGAGCAAGGATGTTAACAATATTCAACAAAGAGTTGATGAATCCACCAAAGTAGCTGCACAGCCCAGCAGCTTTATTGAACAAACCCAAGTTCCCAGAAGAAATCATCAACGAATTTCTTGCTTCAAATCCCACCGATGCTTGTTCAATCGGGTTCGGATCCTCCGCTTGTTTTGCTTATGCCCCACCCGAGAATCGTCACTCCAATTATCAAAGGTAAAGCTGCTCAACATTACACCACAAAGAAACCCTCTTTTTTTATGTTTCATAAAGTTTCTGGGTATCGATGGGAAAATGTAGGTTGTGATATGTGGAGTGGATGAACTACTGCATTTTCTTGGGGGGTTTGAACAATCTGTGCAGCCTTTTAAGGCAATATGGTCTGTCGAGAGGTAACAATGAAGCCATGTTTATCATCGCGGCGTATCGGACACTCCGGGACCGAGGTCCGTACCCGGCCGATCGGGTGTTAAAGGATCTTGAAGGCAGCTATGGGTTTGTGCTGTAGGCTGGATGTGTTTTTGCTGCTTTGGTAAACATCACTCATGTATATCGATAAAGTAACAAAATTCATGCGTTAATATGTGATATATAAAATGTATCATATCATTATTTACATACATATAATATATATTACATTATCATTTATGTATAATGATATATATTACATCATTATTTTAAATATATAAAACATGTTACTTTAGCGAGAAATATTGTTAAACTAACTATTTTCATTTAGTTAAGAGTTATTTTATTTTAAAATAAAATAATTTTTAAAAATATATAAATTAAAATGATTATTCAATTAATCCTTATGTATGAGTGCAGGGTGTTTCACAGTGAACGAGGGTTGATGAGTTATGAGCATCCGAGGCGCAAAATGAAGGCAATTCCCAGAATCGACAGCGAAGAGGCGATGTGTGTTGCTGATTTCAAGGCCGATGTTCAGTCCAGAATCGGTGGCATGCGGCGAGCCGGCAGCGAAGCCAACTGGGCACTGCGAGGCTCCACAGCTTGAATCGGGATATTATAACAGTGACCTACGGTTCAATTGCTGAATGATTTCTTGCATTTTTGGAGCTAAATTTCCTTATTGTTTATGAATTTTCTGCATTAATCGGAGGTGTAAAATTGGCCGTGGCCTGTAAACATGAAAAGGCATGGTTGATAAATAAAATGAGGAGAATTTTCTAATACGCGTCCACCACTGAAAAGGGTTTAGCTTGTAATTAGATGTGATAATCGGTTTGTTTCAATCGGGTTCGGATCATTTCGAATTGATTATTTTGGGTTTAGATCGACTCGATTTAGATTTGACTCAGGTCATATTGAAAATCGAATTTAGATTTTGAATCTAATACGTGTTTTTTTGTTTGTTAGCCTCAAAATTAATTTTCAATTGTTTGATGTTTCAAATTCAATCATCATTTAAGAATTATAATTTGATTCGAACCTAGTTTTATAAAATATGTCTGAAATTCAGTGATTCAGTTCAAAAATTTTGTGTACGACCTCTTTAATGAAGAAATATTTTTTTTAATTACGTGTATCGAAGATTAGTTATGTCTCTCGAAGTCAATATTGGAAATATATTGAACTTGAAAAATGCTTCTCAGATCACTCTTTCTAATAATGTACTTAAGGAAGAGGAGCGTGGGGCTTTGCTAAAGGATCCCCAGCTAAAGGCCCATGTTTTCACTTTTTCTTTGACATAAGTAGATGGATTGAGAAAAAAAATATATTAAATTTTTAAAATTAAATTATTAATAATATTAACACTCATGTATATGTTGTTGTTTTTTTTTTAAAAAAAATACAATGTAAGACTTTCATATACTTAAAGTTTAGGTTCGAATTCGAGTACAAGTTCAAGTTTTTTCGAGTTTGATAATTTTAAGTTCACGAGCTCTCGAGTCGAGTCAAACTAAATTTTAAACTTCTCGAATTGAGTCGAGCTTAACAATACTTGAATTTGACTCGACTCGTTTATAGCCCTAGCCAATACAAATGAATTGGAAATCACTCCAGCACCACATTCTATTGGTCAGCAACCATGAAGAGCATAGGTCCAACTTTTTATGCAGAGTCGGGGCATATGGGAAGACAGTAGAGCAGTTGCTGAAGTAGAACATTGCGCGGCCTCGTAAGACATTCTCCGGTAATCGATCTTCTCTCAGTTTTTCACTTCCATCTATTCATGCTAATGATAGTGGGCAGCTTCTGGCAAGCAAGAGTTGCTGTGGAAAGTTTATGAATTCTGTTGAATTTCTGCAGATTTCCGGTAACTCTCAGATGAGGAAATGTAGAAATAGCAGGATAAACAATACCTCAGTTTTCAGCTTGCATTTGGACCATTCAATGCTCAAATGAGGCACAAACATAACTCTTTAAATGACTGAGATTTGTTGAAGGCTGAAGAAGAAACTAATAGTTAATCATGCTCTTAAAATGGAGAAAAGAACATCCAAATAAAGTTACTGGCTGTAATAGTGGGGTGAAAAGTCGTTTGAGTTTAGCTCGGTGTACATTATCGTTGGTACATTATACAGGGGTCGTGTAGGTAGAATGTTGGAGGAGCATGGACAGGAGCAAAAACGATCACGTAGGCCCATCTGCATTTTCCAATTCCATCTGCTTCATCCACAATGACCACTTAACAGCCTCTAAGAACTTATCATTCTTTTTTAATGCGTTTATCAGATTGTTGTAAGTTATCCTATCAGGCTCTATCCCATTTCCTCGCATTTCCTTGATCAAACCTACGGCATCTTCCACCATTCCAGCAATTCCATATGCCTTAATCAATGAGTTGTAACTGCACAAATCAGGTCGTAGTCCGCATTCTTTCAGTTCACTCAGCACAACAGCAACTTCATCAATCCATCTCCGTTCTCCGTATATATTGATCATAATGTTGTATGTATAGTGGTCTGAAGTACATTTCGATTCCTCCATCCTCTGCAAGACACTTTGGAATTTCTCCATTTCACCTTCTTTCCCATATGCATCCAACATACAATTATAGGCTTCGAGTGAAACTGAAAAACCATTAAATTGCATTTTTCGAACTGTTGACGACATATTCTTGAAGTCCTTATTTTGTCCATATGCACCTATGATAGTATTGTAAGAGATTACATCCACCAAGCCTCGACTTTTTGCCATCCAGAATAGTTTCTTGACCTTCTTGAAAAGTTTGGCTTTACCATAAACATCAAGCATGACGTTGAAGGTTACAGTATTAGGAGTAAAACCACGCTGAAGCATCCGGTTAAATATCTTGGAAAGCTCGTCGACAGACAAAGCACGTGCACAACAATTAATGACACAGTTATACATTTCTTGATCCCAGGTAACTCCACTCTTCAGAATTCTATAATAAAGATTCGCTAATTTATCCTGCATATTGCATTTCTGATAAATTCGAAGCATATCACGGAACAGATATACGTCGGGGACAACGTCTTTCTGCTTCTCCATCGTTTGTAGAACACTGCAAGCATCTTTTAAAGATCCAGCTTTAACATACATTCTTACAACAATGCTAAAGCCAATCATGTCCAAGGCAACTCCTGAAGACTTCAACTTCAAATAGAGTGTTTCTGCTTCAGCAAAGCTACCCATGGCACTGAAAATGTCGATCATTGTACATATTTATATGCAAGTTCGGTTTTTTTTTCTGAGTTGGGCATTTGATAAAATATCTTAACAGCATTATCAAGATCACCCGACTCCTTGCAAGAGCAAATTAATAAATGATACAGGTTATCTTCAAAAGATGAATCCTTCCACTTTTTTCTCCTCAGCACTTCAATTGCATCAGTTACTAATCCACTTTTGACATAAGCCATGACCAGAATAGAACAAGAAGTCGGGTCATCTAAAACATGTTGACGGAAAGACCCAGTTAAAACAAGAGGCACTTTATCGATCCTCCCAGCCTTCTCATATGCTTGCAAAACAGTACCAAGGACTGACGCATGTTGGCACCTCATCTTGAGCATATCATCAAGTGTTCTGATGGCACCCTCTTCATCCCCACACTTTGCTTGCAAAGTTAGTAGCGTGTACAAGTTGGACGAGTTAGGCTTGAATCCGAGCTGTTTCAGCTCCTTGTAATACCATCCTACCTGTTTATAATTGCCAGTTCGCCCCCAGCCCTCAATCATTGAACGGTAAGTTGTTTCATCAGGATGTAATCCAACTTGCCGGATGCTCAGGAATACACGTTGAGCTGCATCCATATTTGATGCTTTTCCATACCCTGTGATCAGTGTATTGTATGCAACAATATTTGGACAAAAGCCCGCTTCTTGCATCAAAGCCAATACCTGCTCAGCCTCCTCTAACTTGCCACTTTGACTATAAGCATTAAGCATCACCAACCAATTCTCGAGATTCAATGCGACTTTATCTTCTCTCATGAAGCCAATAATCTCTTCCGCTTTGCCATACAAACTCAACCGCGTATAAATCGTGATCATCGCGGAGTATGCTGATTGACATAAAATGCCAGAATTCCTCATTTGTGAAAACGCAAATTCTGCTTCCCTAACATTCCAACTCTTCTGGTAAAGTCCCATAAGCATCCCATAAGTGGCAACATTCGGCTGAACCCCATATTCCAGCATCATCCTAAACCACTTTGCACCCATTTCAACAAGACCCCTTCTAGAACAGGCGTATATGATTGTATTGAAAACCTGAGAGTTAAGTTCACAGCTCGAATCACCATTTGCTTCCCTAACCATCGATTCAGCCGCGTCCCAATCTTCTCTCCTACCCAACACCCGAAGAACCAATCTGTAAGCAGTCACATTTCCCTCTAGTTTCCCATTGCTCTTCATCCACTCAAAAAATCTCAAAGCATTACCATCATCAGACTTCTCAAGTCTTTTCAATATAGAATTACAATCCCCCAATTTCAAGTCATGCGTAATAGCAGAGTAATCAACATCCAGCCCGCCATTTCTAAACACAAGAAAATCGCCTCTTTCTGCTCCATTATTAATCCTTCTGAAACCAAACTTGAAACCCACATTTCTTTTAACCCCTTTCTGGTGGTTCCGGCCTTCTTTCCCCTTAACAAATTCTGGGTTTTCATTCCCTAATTCGTTTCTGGAAGAAAAAAGGGTATCTCTATCGACTGGGTTTGGTTCAGTTCCAAAGCGAGAGACTCTAATATGTTTGAACCTAGTCAAAGAACCGAGTATGGAAGCAGCTCTGGTGACGTGAAAACAACTAGTGAATGAAAAGCCGGAACATTGATCGGGTAAATGAGATGGGTTGACATGGAAATTAAGTTTCTTTGAATCAATAGAATCCAAAGAAAGGGGCAATTTCAAAGATGCCATAGCTGCTACTGCTACTGCTACTGTAATCGAATTTTGATTCAGAAGAAGAAAGACTTATGCATCTTTTTCTGAGGGTGAATGAACGGAAGAGCAAATCAGTAAAGAGGAGCAAAAGAACGAGAAAGGAAGAGAGTTATACGCATACCTTGATGATGGGTGGTTGAGAAAAAGTAGGTTGAAGCAGTGGAGCAAAATAACCGTTCCTGGATTTTTCATGTTGATTTTTATTCTTTATTTCCTTTTCAGCTTTTATTTAGTTTCCGGGTAAACTACCAAATGGTGGCTCAACTTTTAAGATACTATCAATTTAGTAAAACAATATTTACGATGTTAATTAATAGAGGGATAAATTTCAAATTTATATATGAATTATAGTAAAAATGATAATTTTATAAATTAAATTCGGTTTCGTTTAATTTATGTAAAAATTGGTATTGGAGACTAAAGATTATAGCTAGATTCTTTCCTTGCTTATAACATTTTCTCTAATGTTGAAGGATCAAAATAATGAAGAGATTTATGAAATGTTCCATTTAGCTTGATCTATGACATTTTCTGATTAAATAATTTATATCAAGGGCTTATTAAGAGAAATTTAAAGATTAAATAATTTATGTTATTTTCAAATTGTACCTACAATACTGTAAGATAATGATTATGGTTAAAAAAACTATTTATACCGATTGATAGTAGTGAATTATTATGTTTTTTGAGAATGGTATGCAACAGGTAAAGTTAGAACTATCATTTGATTTTTCGATTTCACATTTCGTATCTTAGTGAACGGAATAGACAACTATGATAATGACTTGTGATAAGAGTGTCACGAAATTAAGTGACAGAGAATATTAAGTCTCTAAGAGATAGAAAACATAAATACCACGTTGAAAAAGAAAGAAAGAAAGTTATAAAACTCAAGCAGAAACACACAACTTATGAAATATATCTTTTGGGAATAGAATAATAACATTATGACAGATACAAGATTTTTTAAATCATTATTTTATTAAGCTTATGAAACATATCTTTTGGGAATAGAATAATAACATTATGACAGATACAAGATTTTTTAAATCATTATTTTATTTTTATTTTTTCAAGAATACATATTACTGTAAAGATTAAAATGATATCTAAACTATGAGAGCAAGAACATGAAACAGAACTAAAGGAAGAAATCATCCTGAATTTTATTATCTTCAAAGGGTAAGTCTTTTACAATTCTTGAGAAGTGAATTTATAGAGAGAGTTTTAGCTGAAACTAATGATGTAACCAACTTCAACAAACTAATTGCTTCATCAACTGATCAGACTGTAACGTATCAGCTGTATGTGCAACGTCATGCACAGCAGTAATCATGCACATCAATTCATTTACACTAACATTCCCCTTGCAACCTTCAACTTCAAACCTCTTCCAAAACTCAACAAACCTCCTTCAAAACTCAAATTGAATTAATGTTCATTTACACTAACATTCCCCTTGCAACCTTCAACTTCAAATAAGCTCAAACTGATATGCTTTTAAGTTGCATCACCAAAAACCGTTATCTGTGTTTGAAAAACAAAGGTGCTGATAAAGGCTTGGTTAGCACATCAGCAACCTGCTCCACTGCAGGAACCTCATGCACTTGTAGTTATCCCATAGCCACCATTTCTCGAACAAAAAACAAATCCAACTCAACATGTTTAAATTTGGAATGAAGTACAGGATTAGCACATACAACAACTGCACTTGTATTATCACACCACAACGTGGCCTTGCCATGAGTAATTACGTGCAGCTCTACCAACAGTGATCGAAGCCACACCATCTCAGCAGTTGCACAAGCCACACTTCTGTACTCAGCCTCAGCAGTCGAACGTGCAGCAACCTATTGCTTTCGAGAGCTCCACGAGACTAGGTTCCCACAAAAATATATACAGAACCCTGGGGTTGACTGTCTATCATCAACATTCGAGCCCCAATTCGCATATGCAAAACCAGTCAAATCCATTCTTGAGGAGGGTGTAAACCGCTGTCCAAAATCAACATTACCTTGTAGGTAACGAATTATTCACTTGACTGCCAGAAAATGAACATCCAGTGGGGCTTGCATGAATTGACACACCCTATTCACAGCAAACGCCACATCAGGTCGAGTGATCACAATGTACTGCAGGGCACCTACGATGCTTCTGTATCGTGCAACATCTTCAAGTGGTGTTCCTTCCTTGGCTGACAGCTTGATGTTAGAGACCATAGGGGTGGGAAGACTTTTCACTTCACCAAAACCATGCTTCTGTAAAAGGTCTTGAATATACTTTTGTTGACTCAAAACAACATCACAACCTTCATAACTGACTTCCACTCCTAGGAAAAAACTCAATGGTCCAAGATCCTTCAACGAAAACTGAGCATTCAGTCTGTTTATAACACTTTGAACAACTACCTCTCTATCCCCTGTTAAGATGATATCATCAACGTACACCAATAAGTACACCAAGCTATCCGAGGTCTTTCGAACATAAAGAGAGGCATCCGACTTAGCTAGGCAAAAACCTTCAAACTCCAAGTATGCCTTTAGTCGTTCAAACCAGGATCTCGGTGCTTGTTTCAGCCCATAAATCGCCTTGTGTAACTTGCATACCAGCTCACCATTTCCTTGCTCATACCCTGGTGGTTGAGTCATGTACACCTCTTCAGTGAGCAGCCCATTCAAGAAGGCATTGTTGACATCGACTTGTCTCAGCTTCCACCCTCGTGACAACGCCAAGGAAATGATTAACCTGATCGTTGCAGGCTTGACCACCAGACTAAAAACTTCATCAAAGTCAATTCATGGTTTCTGAAGAAAACCTTTCGCCACCAAGCGTGCTTTGTACCTTGAAATCGAGCCATCAACATTTCTCTTTATACGAAATATCCATTTACAGTTTACTGCCTTCCTATCTCTAGGAAGAGGAGCTAGTGTCCACGTGTCATTCTTTACCAGGGCGTCATACTCGGCTTCTTTCCAATGAGGATTCATGAAGGCCTCTGTGATATTAGCTGGCTCTCGATCTGAACTTGCAACGTTATAAACTTTTGGCTTCCAGATTCCATGCTTACTCTTGGTCATCATGGGATGTACATTGGAGACTGGTTGTGGTAAACCACTTTCCTCATTTCGTTGAATTTCAACACACGTCTCTGTTTTACCATTTTCTTCTTGGACCCCACGCGAACTGCCACTACAATTACTACCAGCGTGATTATCTCCTTGGACCCCATGTGCATGACAACTACTCTCACAATTACCATCATCGTGACTTTCTTCTTGAATTCCATGCGAATAGCCATTAAAATTAATCACATTATCAATGTTTGCCGCACCTTGGTCCCCATGTGTACCATGCGCATTTGATTGCTCCCCATGTGCACCATGCACATTTGATTCTTCAACAGGTGATCCACTTTCAATATTTGAATTTGCAATAATTCTTCCTTGGACCCCGCGTATACCATGCGCATTTGATTGCTCAATAGGTGAGCCACTTTCAATATTTCAATTTATAATATTTCCTCCTTGGACCCCACGCGAGATGCTATTACCATGTGAGCGCGCATTTGATTCTTCAACAGGTGAGTCACTTTCAATATTTGAATTTATAATATTTCCTCCTTGGACCCCAAGCGAGATGCCATTACCATGTGAGCTCCAATTATTCAAGCTTGGCGCACTATTATGGTTGCCTTGGACCCCACGCGAGGTGCCATCACCATGTGAGCTCTCACTACTATTCCCATTATTTATGTCTGCCGCAACTCTATCAATACTCGGACTATGTGCGTTTGTTGGAGTAGTAACGTGGGTGGGCACCACGCCAGGAGGTACATGCGCATTGGACCCGTGCACATTGGACTCATGCGCACCATTACCACGTGCATCCACCATTTCAAAAGGCATGGCCCTAACATCATCTTGGCTTGGATTATGCGCATCTACCACCACGCCAAGAGGCATATGGGCATTGGAACTCGGTGTGGTCCCAAGGTTGGCACCATGTGCAGAAGACGAGGTGGCTCCAACCCTATGCGTATTATGATAATTTCCAAGCAGTGTGGCTCCACGCTTATTATAGAATATAGGCAATTGTCCAGTAGTGATAATTTATTGTGTATGGCACTTGTACACAAATTTATTCTTATCAAAAGGAAAAACTTGCTCGTCAAACCTCACATGTCGAGACACAAACACTCTGCCATCACTGTCTAGCCATTTGTACCCATGATGTGAGGTGTTGGGCCCAAGAAACACACACTGCCTTGACCGAAAATCCAATTTATGTTGATAAACGATCTCAAGAAGGGAAAGCAAGCACATCCAAACACTCTCATTCCTGAGTAGTCAGGAGCTTTCTGATAGAGAACCTCAAATGGGGTCTTGCCTAAAATAACCTCAGATGGAAGCCTGTTTATGATATACACTGCCATAATAAAGGCATAACTCCAGAACTTTATTGGCAGTGATGTCTGAGGTAACATGGTTAGTCCCATCTCAACAATGTGGCGATGTTTGCGTTTAGCCTTCCCATTCTGCTCTGACGTACTGGGACAAGAGACTCGATGTTGTACTCCATTGGTAAAAAACCAACTCTTCAGAGCCTGATATTCACCTCCACCATCACTCTGCAATGCTTTGATTTTCTTCCCAAACTGAACCTCGGCTATTTTAACAAGATTGAGAAAGCATTGGCTGACTTTAGATTTCTTTCTAATTAGATACACCCATGTATGTCTGCTGAACACATCAATAAATGATACATAATATACGTAACCTTCAGTCGAAACTACAGGAGCAGGTCCCCACACATCTGACACAACCAGCTGAAAAATTTCTTTGTATTCAGTCAACGAATTACAAAAAGGTATCCTGTGAGCCTTGCCTTGTAAACATGTAGAACAAACATTGTTCAATTTGTTTTCACTACTAGAAACATTACACATTTTCATAATATCTTTGACAGTCTTCTCACAGGAGTGTCCTAAGCGCCTATGCCAAAGTTCCAGACTGTTTGAGGCCTTGGTCACATTATTCACCATGCAACACGATTTCTTTTCTTCATA